TTATTTACATTTACGTTATAAGGTTATATCATTGGTAACACGCTAGTTTGCATTTAATGCTGTCTATACATAATTCCTCTTAAATCTTCACGTGAAAGTATGGATTATATTCTGGTATGAATTTATAGACGTTCCGCTTGGCGTACGGATATTGGATTATATAAATTTATGTCTCATAAGCTTAATGGATGTTCTTTAATTATATGTTCTTTACTAACTTTTCAAATGTTACTTCCTCCTGGTTTGAAATACACGTATTTCAATAGAAAGAAATCTGCAACATTCAGTGAAAAATTTTGATGTTAATCCGTCTGTAAAAATGTCTGGACTAATATGGTAATACATATAGACTTACAATACGCAAAAGTTATTTTACGTTTAGTCACTTTTCAATCTCGTTAATCGTCAAATCTTTGCATAACTTTAATCATTTTGAATTTACACGATTATCTCCTGTTTCATTTATTACAGTTTTATGTTAAAAATGGTTACATACTTTATTACATCACTACCGCGGATGAATACAAAATGTTCTGCAACTGATAGCATTTAAAGGGAAAGGATGATTTCACATAAAAGGATAAAACTAAAACATATAATACATTTTCTTTTAATAAATTTGAACAAATAAATAAAATATGTAAATAGTAATATGAAAGAAAATATTTTTTTAAGATATCATTACAATAACTAAATAAATCTGAACAATTTTTGAAACTTGAAAAATTGTTTTGTAATGTATAAATTAAATTATCTCAGTGTATAATTGTTGTATCAATCATAAGGTGTCTTGTTTATAGACTGTGTCATCGTTAAATGGGACATTAGTAAATTTCAGTGGTAAAATTAAAATTAATTATTCTTGTAGAAGTATGGTACAATAAATGAAAAGTATTTTGCAGTTTATACTAGATGGAAATTCGAATAATAACGGATTGGAATAACGAAAGCACTGATCATAACAATTTGTCTCATGTTACTACCAACTTAATATAAATGTGTAGTATAATGTAACACAGAGTAAATTGCGTCCGCTGGGGAATTATGTGCGATCGTACGTATAGACTTACAGAACAAATTTAATATTCACGTTGTTCTACATCATTTCCGTCTTGGACTCGTCGCATTCGTATTTCAAATTCATGACATTGTAATTGAAGAAAAGCGAGTATCAAGACCTTGTGTACTAACTTGTAGCATAATACCTGCACATTTTAGTATTATATTATTCATTATGATAGGTAAACATTTGTTATTGGTAAATTAAATAAAAATCATATCATCAGCAGTTATAAGTGATACAGTTTTATCATGGTGGTACCATTCATCAATAGTTTTATATATAAGTGCTCTTAATAACTATCGTGACGTTCGTTTTAGATAGACACATGCTTAATTGTTTAAAATAACTATTTAATCTACAATATATCTATATGTATATTATTTCTATTTATTAAAATATTCAATGTACACATTTTTAATTAGTATTATCTTCTGTTTTTTGTAGTATATAAAGTTTCCGAAACACATTTTATTACAGTAATTAATGGTAGTAACGATATTACAGCAATTAATTAATGACAATTCAAATACAATTAATGGACGTGGTATTAGTTGTATTTACCTACGCGACGTTACAGTATTTTGTGATCATACAAAATTAAGAATAAAAAGAGACTTTCCACTAAATGAGTTCGCGGAATAAAGGCCAACAGATTATTAAAAAAGCAGTAATGTTTAAAAAGGAATGGTTTTGAAGTTATATCTATATATAAAGGTGTATTACGTTCTTGCACAAACCATTTTATTCTATATATATATAAAAGAGACTATTAAAAGGTGAAAAAAGTGCTTCGACGCTTATATCTCGTGGACGTGAAAACCTAAATGAATATTTTCGTATAAATAATACTAGAAATAAAATCCAAATTGTGAAATTTTGTACCTTTTCACAATGAATCGATTTGCGTATATAGGTTTCAAAAGTAATTAAAGAGAAAAATATTTCATGTTAAATCAAAAACATAAGAAAGTTCCTATAGAAACAGAATTGAGTGTACCAAATTTATACATTGTTACTTAAATATTACTTTAATATTCTACACAAAAGTTCGTTGTGCAGTCATTATTTCATTGATTTCACGGAGCCGCGATGCAAGATGCATCGGGCACGTAAGTTGCAATGTAGATTTATGGTCATAGGGTGTTGCTAATGGCGAGAATGCGGTAGCTGCGCATTTTTTTTTGTCATCGTCGATCTTAGCGACTGCTGGAGTTCCAGTACCTTTTATACCCCTCAACATTACCGATAAACACCAATTTTAGACTCGTTAGCAGAAACATAGCCCGCCATATAAATAATGTGTGTCTCACGCGCTTAATTGAGATGAAATATTGCTTACATTCAACGAAGGGATATAAAGTTCAATGGAGTAGTGATATGGAAATAAAGTTTTTCAATAAAATATAAATATTACGTTATATTTTAATATTTTATGTTCGGTATATTATATTAACACTAAAATTACTGAATACTTAAAGAGTACTAAGTACTAAGTACTAAGAGTACTTAAAACTAACTTTTTCATGTTCCAGCGTGCGTTAACAAACATTTCAATCGACTTACAATTCAGATTAAATATTAATGAATCAACTTCTTCAATAATTTCTCAAAGAAGTATCTGTAACTTTTTAGTGATTTTAAAATATGACATCAGGAATAGGTCATTTTAATTCATCTGGTAGCTCTAATGTTAATTAATATAATATATTCGTATTATTATAATATAATATTGAACTATCTTTGCAATTTTAAGACTATGTGTATTACACATATTTACCAGTTTTGATATTACTATTCAATATATTTCTACTTCTATCAATTAATAATTTTTCAATTATTAAATCAAACTACGTGTCATTATTTAAAATGAACTGCTTACTAAATTGCATGTCGTTTGATAATAATTAGTTTATTAAGATTTCGAAATTTTTATAAGTATTTACTTTCACTAGATTCATTACAAGACAATTTAACTAATTACTAATCGAACTTGATGAACACGAATGGCAACAAGTGTTTTCGGACGCGAAACTCTTGTCGTTCGACAATGAAGTACAAGAATGTTATACTACATCCAAAACACTTAACTACAGAAGGTCTAGATCAGGCACGTAGCAAACCGGTGATTGTATGAGCCAGTTTCAGCGAATAAAGAGCCAAGAGCAACGCGCACCACGATTCTCAAGAGCCAGATTCTCGGGGTGGGGTAATCTATGAGTCAGGCATTGTCACGAATACCTCTGCGCGCTATCCTTACTCAACTATACAACCTCCTCCTCCAAGCTTCCTGAACAAATACAACTTCCATACGTTTGTAACTTTTTAATACTTCGTGTGACTTGTTGCTTTGCTCGAAAACACGATTAAAGCATGACTCATGTGCATTCTATATAAAATTTCTTAAAAATAAATGAAACTCGAAGTTTCTCTGTGTACAATTGTTTCAAAAGTAAACGATACAACTGTTAACGCTAAAACCACCGGACAGGTCAAATTGACCCAGCTCAGAATTTTTATTTTGCAAGTATTTAAATTATGAAGGTGTTTTCTCGAAAGATTTTCAATTAAATCAGTATTCTAATTTTGATAAAATGTTGTAAATAAGTCACTCTAATTGCTCGACAGTTTAAATGTTAAACGGGGGAATCAAAACAGTTCTGCGTCGATTTCGATAAAATGATGCAGATATATTATATAGATATAATACAGAAGTATGTATTCATTATCGTATCTGCGGATAATGCGTTCAAAGATCTACTAAGGTTACGTAAAACTACGAATAATACAGAATTCTATATACAATGTGATATACATAAATAAGGTGAAGTTTGATAAATTACGTATTCTCTCGTGTTATCTTCAACGATGACAGAGTAACAGATTGTCACTTGGCGCGCGTTTAAAATCTGTTGAAACGTATGTTTTAATGAATTAAAAAGAAAATTAATTTCATCTTTTAATCGTCCCATAAAATGTTGTATATCGAAATTAATTTAATTTAATATAATTTATTATTTTCAATAAATTGTGGGTGTTGTATTAGTAAATACCACATCATCTTTATATATTCAAATTGGTTACTAAGTATTTATACAGGATTATTGATCTCTGCTCATGCGACTTTAAAGACTAAACTAACATCGCTTCAATATGAGATGATCGATCATAGAGATTGTTTCTTCCATTTGCATCTACAAGTTCTGTTTACGGTTTATTCTTTCGAAATTAGAACTACCGAGCAGTCAAATTGACTTTCTTTCATTCTTCCGGAAATGTTATAAGAGTGTATTTACAGCGATTTTTAGTGGCTTATATTTTTATTCGTAGATTAGGAAGTCAGATTATTTAGCAACTTCTTTGAAAAACGCTCGTATCTTCTCAATGATTGTACAAGAGTGCTATCTAGAATCTGAAGATAGTTGATATTCAACGATTATATTGGATTGTTGCTTACAAT